CTGCAGGGCTTGCCGCCGAGCCCGCCCCTCCCGGCGCCTCGCCCAGCCACAGCCAGGACAGGAGGCGCCGCCCGCTCCCTCGCACCGCACCTCCCTTGGCGGCGGCGTAGTTAGCTTGCCCGGCGTTGCCCACCAGGCCAACCACCGAGGCGACGTTGACGATGCGCCCCTTCCTCTTCTTGCTCATAATCTTGGTGGCGGCCTGGGGCAGGATGGGGGGTGGCGGCTGGCGGTCAGTGCGGGCTGCCAGCCAGGCGCGTGTGCAGACGGACAGGTGGGGACGCTTGGAGCACTTGCAGTAGTGTGTGCTGCCACCCAGGCGCGCATGCATACAGGCAGGCGTGTGGGGTGGGCGGGTGGGGCACAAGTGTGGGGCACAGGGCGTGGGCGGTGACCGCAAGATAAGGCTCCCTGAGGCTGCTGCCTGCATGCAGGCCCGCCGCCAGCCCAGCGGCGCACACCTGTGTGGCCAGGAAGACTCCGGTGAGGTTGACGTTGATGACGTCGTCCCACTGCTCCTTCTTCATCCGCATCATCAGCGTGTCGCGCGTGATGCCCTGCGGCAGGAGGGAGGGAGGGAGGGGTTGGCAGGCGGGCGCGCAGGTGCGCGACGTGTGCGGCGGCAGGCAGGGCCAGCGTGGGGGCTGCCGGCGGCAGGTGTGCCACACGCGCGCGGCAGCGGGCGGCGCGGAGCCAGCGCCTGCCAGCCCGGCACAGCCCGGCCCAGCACAGCCCAGCACAGCCCAGCTCAGCACAGCACGGCACAGCACAGCCCAGCACAGCCCGGCATGGCTACAAGGCGGGCCTCCTCCCTCCTCCAGGCCCACTCACCGCATTGTTGACCTGCGCAGGCAGGGGCGCGGCGGCAGGGGCAGGCCAGGCCGAGGTCAGCCGCAGCATCAACGAAACAGCCGGCACGAGGCCAGCCACACACCCCACCTGCACGCTGACACCTCCCCGCCGCTCCCGCACCCCCTATACAACAGATACTGTCCCGCACCCACACCGGTCCCAGCTCCTCGCCCCCCTGCTCACCAGCACATCCACGGTGCCCCACTTGTCGGCCACAGTCTTGAACAGGGCGTCAATCTCGTCGGCCTGCACACACGCACACACACACACACACACACACACACAGCCAGTGCAGCGGCGGCAGCGGCAGCGGCTCAGCCAAGGCCGCAGTCGTCGGGGCCATCGGCGGCAGCCAGCCAGGCGTGGGGATCGGATGGTCTGGAGGCGCCACCAGCGGGAGCAGGGCAGGGCTCCCAGCCGCCGCCGGCAGCGCCGAGCCCCGGCAGCGAGCAAGGCAGGGTGAGCGCGGCGCGGGGCTGGAGCGGCGCCGTGCTGGTTCCCGCTGGGGCCAGCCCACCCGCCCGCCCGCTGCCCTCACCTTGCCCATGTCTGCCCCCACCACGATCGCCTCCCCCCCAAGCTCCTCAATCTGGTGGGCCACCTCCTCAGCTGCGGCAGCGTGGGAGGAATGGTATGGTGCGAGTGTGGGTGGGTGGGTGGCGTGATAGGCAGGGGGGGCATCAGGGATGATGGCGGCATGCGCAGGCGGCGGGTGGGGCGCGGCGCCAGGCGACGAGCGCGGCAGCGGCCGGCGCAGGGCAGGCTGGCGGCGCACGGAGGCAGGCGCCTGAAAGTCCCTTGCTGATGCTGCTGGCAGGCTTGCTGGGTTGCTCCAGGCAGGCGCCTCACCCCTGCCAGAGCTGGCGGCGTAGTTGATGGCCACCTTGCATCCCTGGGCGCCCAGAGCCAGCGCGACGGCGCGCCCGATGCCGCGCGACGCGCCCGTCACCACGCACACGCCGCTCTCCACTGAAGCCACGGGGGCACGCAGCAGGCGCAGGTGGGTGCGTGCCGGAGGGCAGGCCAAGGAGGGCAGCGCGGTGCGCCCAACGCCAGCCAATCCACCCGCACGCAGAGGCGGCCTGCTGAGGCGCTCATCATTCTGGCGGCAAGCGCCGAGCAATGATGGATGCCCCGCCGGCATCGCGGCCAGCCTGGCTGCACCCGATGCCCTCCTGCAGGACTGCCTGCCCGATGCCACCCCCAGCAGCCAGCCGGCCGGGCAGCAGCGCAGTCAACCACGAGGGGTGATCGGCGGCAGGCGGGTGGAGGCCAGTGCGGCGGCGGCACTCACGCTGGAGCGCGGAGCACACGGGCTGGCTAGCTGTGCTGCTGTGGCGGGATGCCGCGGTCTTGAACAGGCGGGCAGCCTGGCCCACGCCCCTCATGTTGCCTGCGCCGCAAACCGCAAGCCATCAGCGACATGGGCCCGGCCAGCGGCTGGCAGGGAGGCTGGGGGCGATCAGACGGGCGATCCAATGCGTCCGGCCCTCACCGAGTGTGCGTGCCGCCTGCAGCTGCTTGTTCAGGCATGCAGACTGCACCGGCAGAGCTTGAGCCATCGCGACCTGAGAGCGGCTGATGCTGATCAGCGCGAGGCGTGAAGGGAATGTGTCCAGGCGGCAGCCCCGATGGCTGCGCCTGGGTGAGGCCCGCCACCACCTGAGCCTAAGCGCCAGCGGGGCATTTTGGAGAGGGCTGCCTTGATGCACGAAAAACACATGTGGCGTTCTGATCACACCTAGAGATACAGGGAAACCGAAAAAGACGGTGAATGACGGTGGAAGGGGGGGTGGCTGTCGCCCTTCTAGTGGCAAATGACGGTGGCATGGCGGCGGGGCGCTGCGGGAGAAGTGTGAAGGGGACGATGAGCCGCGGCCATGGCTCAGCTCAGCGGGTTTAGTCGGCAGCCAATGCAGGGGAAGAGCTGTGCATGAGAAAACTGCAGACGACCGAAGTTGTGAGGGCCAGCGCAGCTACGGTCCGGTCGTGCCGGTGTAGGTACGCAGGTGCGCAGGAGCACAACCGCCAGCCTCTGTGCTCGCCGCCTGACTAGCCAGTGGTAGGGACGTTACAGATGCGGAGCGCTTGAACTGGTCCCAGGGAGTACCAAGTTGCAGGCGAAGCGCTGCTGCCCAGCGCTGCGCTGGAGATCAGGCGCCGCCCTCCGCCGCCTTCTTTGCCGCGGCGGCTGCCCGCCGCTTGGCGTTCTTGCTGGCCGACTTGCTGGCCGGCGGCGCGGCGCCCGGGGGCAGGTTGCTGGCTGCCGCCGCGGGCCGCGCCGCCACCGCGCCGGCGGGGATCTTCCCTCCCTTGTCCGACGCGTCCCGTGCCAGGCTGAAGGAGGCCGCCGCCACCGCCGCCGCGCCCGGCTTTCCGCGCAGATGCACCGGCACGTAGGCCGCCGCTCGCGCGGCGGGCTGCGCCGGCAGCGCCGCCGCGCCGCCGCCGCCGCCGCCGCCGTTGGCTGCCGCGCCCGCCGCCGCGCCCGCCGCACGCGGCGTCTGCGGCCGGTCCTCAAAGCTGCCTGCCGGCGCTGGCAGCCAGGTGGCCTCATACAGAACCTCCCGCTTCTCCCGCGCCACCAGCGTGCCGTCGTACTTGAATATCTGGAGGAAAAGGAGGAGGGGTGGAGGGGCGGGGGCAGGTGGAAGGCGGACAGCGGCGTGCAGGGAGGCGCGGTCAAGGGAACCTAGATCGCAGCCCCAGCATACCAGGGCCAAGCAGCAGCGTGGCAGCCGCGTACCCCCCCCCCACACACACACAAGCGCGCGCGCGCGCGCACACACACACACACACATGTACGCACACAGCCACACAGGGCCACCCGAAGAGCTGACCTGGAAGCCGTTGTCCACCCGCAGGCGCGGCGCCACGGTGGCGCTGATGAGGTACCGCCCGCACGGCGACCACTCCGCCGTCACCGCATTCTCGGCGCTGCACGGCAGGCGGGAGGCCAGGCGGGAGGCACGGCATGGGGCAGCAGGTGCGAGGTGGCAAGGGCCTGGGGACCGGGGTCATTGGCCAGCTGGCACTCCGGCCAGGAGGAGACAGGGAGGCACGCATGCGAGGCGCCGCCACCCGGGGCCGCTTCCCCAAGCAGCCGCCCAGGGCCCCCTCCCCACACAGCCGTCCAGCGGGCGGCGGCGCACCGTGTGGGCGTGCCCATGGGCCTGCACTTGCCGTCTGCCTTGCGGTCGAAGAAGTGCAGGTCGCCGGGCAGGTTGCCGATGCCCGCCAGCACCAGGAAGCGGCCAAAGGGGTTCCACCGAGCCGTGCTGAAGGGCCCGCTGCCTGCGGTGGCGGCGCGACGGGGAGGGCGGGGAGGGGGCAGGGAGCAGAGGCGGGCGTGGGAGGGCGCGTGGTCGCGTAGGCGCAGGCGCGGTGGGCGGGGGCGGCTGGGCGGGCGCATCGGGCGGCACGTACTCCCTCCCGCCTCGCACAGAAGAAGGGGGTGGGTGCAGCCGGCAGCCGATGGCCTCCCTGCCTGCCCTGTGCCTGTGTGCCTACCGCCCAACCCATCTGCCCCTCGACGCTCCCCCTTGGTGCTGTACGCCACCCCCAAGCCCACCTAGGTCGTACGTGGGCTTGCACTTGTCCGTGAACAGGGTGGTCTTGGCGGGCATGAAACCAGCCACTGCAGGGGGGGGCGCAGGGCGCAGCAGGGAGTGTTCTGCGTCCGATGTGGGGGCTCCTGAGGAGCCAGGGGCAGGTGGAAGAGCCACAGGGGGGGGCCACAGAAGCCGGGGGTGGGGGGGGGATAGACTCTAAAGGAACACTAACATTATAGAGCATATATCAGTAAACCAAGCTGCCACCCACCCACAACAAAGGAGTCGCCCTTGGGGTTCCACTGCACGTCGTGAATGGGGCCGTCCTGCAGGCAGCGGCAGGGGGTGGCAGGCGGCGGTGGGCAGCAGCACAAATGGAATAGCATGCGCGGGAGCAGCCCCCCAACCGCTCCGCACACACACGCGCAGCCAGGCATGCGCCCACACAAACCCCACCTACCTTGGGCAGCGGCACCTGGCACTCGTTGCTGCCGTCAGCCGCCAGGAAGTACAGCTTCTGCTCGCCGTAGTACGACTGCAGGGCGGTACCATGAAGGGGGCAGTACGAGCAGTGTGCTTGGTGTGTGCTTTTGATATGTGTGTGCCTAGTGTGCGCGTGGCCGCGCGCGTGGCAGCTAGCCCAGCCGACGCGGCAAGCCAGGCTCCCCATCCCTGCCCGCCTACCCTCCACACCCTGCCCACCACACCTGGTTTGTCGCATCCACGTCGGCAGCGGTCATGGCCAGCACGGCGGTGCCGGTGCTGTTCCACAGAAGCTGCGCGGCATTGGCCTGCAGGGGGCGCCAGGCGGCGAGCGGCAAGGGGGGCAGGCGGGCAAGCACGGTCGGCGGGCAACACAGAGCAGCGGCAGCATGGGCAGCATGGGCAGCAGCCTCCTGCATCAACTCTGCTCACACCGCTCCCTTGCGCCACTCCGACACAGCTGGCGGGGCGCCTGCGTGCCACTGACAAGCAGCCCTGCCAGCCAGCCCGCTGCCTGCCAGCCGGCCAACCACACAGGCCCCCTCCCGATGGGGGCCGCCCCTCCCACCCACCCGGTAGAAGCTCTTGCGGCACAGCGGCGGCGGCGCGTCCCCGCTGGCCGAGATGGCGGCGTGGTCGAACAGGGCGATGTAGCCGGGGCTTCCCTTGGACTCTGGCACGTAGGTGGCCAGCAGGGAGCGGCCGGGGGCGGGGCACACCGCGCAGCCGGCCACACCCTTGAGCGGCAGCCGCTTGGACACGCCTGCGAGGGGGTGGGGATGAGCAGGGCTTGAGCGGAGGAGGCGTGTGTGGTTAGGTGGGGCGGGGCACGCTGCAATGGTCTGCGCCTGCGGCTCGGAGCAGCGGCGTGGCCCCCCTGCCGGCAGCCCACGGGCAGCCTGCCCGCGGCATGCCGGCTCGGCCGCTGGCTGGCTGGCTGGCTGGCTGTGGCGGCGCACCCGCCCCAAAGTCTGCTGTGGCGTAGATGTTGACTGCGTTGGCCACCTGGTGGAAGGCCTGGGACTCGTCTGCACAGCAGCAGCGGGCGGCACAGGCGCAGGGTGAGGCGGCGAGGAGGGGCGGCAGGGCAGGCAAGGCGGCCGGGGGCGCGGGACTGAGGGGGCCGAGATGCTCTCTCTCTCTCCCTCTCTCTCCTTCTCTCTCTCACTCACACGCACACACACACACACACACATGACACGCACACGCGCACCTGACGTGAACTGCACGCTGGGCCAGGAGTCCTTGGTGTACACCTTCTGGTGCAGGCTCAGCACGCACTCGCCGCCCGCCAGGCGCCACACCTTGAGGTTGCGCCCGGCTGCAGGGAGGGGCGGGAGCATACCAGGCACGACGCGCGGCGGGTCGGGTGCTGCAGCGCGGCGCGGCAGCAGGCGCAGCAAGCAGCCTGCTGGGATGGCAAGGATGTTGCTGCAACAGGTGCGGGGGCAGGGCAGGCCTCTGGCAGGCGGGAGCAGACGGCCGCTGCTTTTGGACTGCCGCCGTTCCTGCCGCCGCCGCCGCACGCCGCACCTGCGCCTGTCTCATCCTTGGAGGGGCGCTGGAAGGTGACCAGGAAGGTTCCCAGCGGGGACAGGGCGGCCGCCATGACGGCCGGGATGTCCAGGCGGCGCTGCTGCTGGCGTGTGGCTGCATCCAGCACTACGACGGCGTCGCCGCCCACCAGCAGCAGGCGGGTGGCGTCGGGGGAGAAGACCAGGCTGCTGGCCGGCGCCCTGCGGAGGGCAGTGCGTGGCAGCATGGTGGGATTCCAGCCCTGCAGGCTGCAGGAAGGGAGCCCATCGCGCGGCCAGAGCAGCAGGCTCACCCGACGGCGCCCAACTGGGCCACCTCTGGCGCCGTCAGGAATTGGACATCATCTGGCGTCCTGCCTGCACTCAATGCAGCTCATCGGGGCTGTCAGAAGCGACGCTCAAGCAGCAGGCGGCACATGCAGGCGCTGAAAGCTGGCCACACTCACACACGACTTGCAGCTGCTTGGACATGGCTGCTGGTGCTGTTGTGACTGCGATGGCGATCGCTTGCAGCCCCAAAGGCAGCCGCCCAGCATTTCAGCTGAGCTGGCGGCGGCTGGGTGCCCGCCATATGCTTCTGCGCGCCATGCATGCGACCGAAACGGCTGCCTTGTGCGCTTGTGCACTGCACGGGGCGCCTGCATATTGAGAGGCACAATGACAGGGCGGCAGGAGCTGGGCAGCGAGACGGAAGAGGAGGAATTCGCTGCTGCTCCCGACAGCGACAGCGAGGATGAGGAGCAGAGGGAGGAGGGCGGCATGCAGCTGGGGAATGTGGTCACCAACAGAGGGGGGCAGGGGCCAGGCTTCCTGCTCCAGGCCAACGGCAGCCAGCTGGTGCAGGTGAGGAGGGATCCCAGGCGTGCGGCGCCGCGGCGCCAAGGCCGCCCAGGGTGTTGCCGCCGCCGCCGCCCGCCGCCGCCGCCAGTTGCCGCCACTGGCCGGGCAGTGCGCGTGAAGCAAGGCGGGCTGCGAGCCTGGCCTCACAGGCTTGTAAGCCTTGGCCTCACAAGCTTGTTAGCCTGGACCCCTCTCCCCAACTTTCCCCCAAACCTCCCATGCCGTGCAGCCACCCAGCTTTGAGTTCTCCAGCAAGCGCAGGCAGAAGCTGGATGGGCGGCCGCTGCTGCTGTTTGACATCAACGGCGTGCTGATGCAGCACACTTGGAACGGCGTCACCCACCAGGTGGGTGGTTGGGACGCTTAGGTAAAGGCGGGCACAGCGTGGGAGGTGGCAGGGCAGCGCTGCCGCCAGCAACTGCCGCACCAGGCCTGCCTGCATCGCACGCACGCCCTCCTGCTCACCACCCCACCCACCCCACCCCGTGCCCGCAGCACGACCTGCGCCCCGGCGTGCACCACCTGCTGCGCCTACTGCCGTACTTCAGGTGCGAATGCCTGCCCGCCCCCGCCCGCTCCCCGGCGTGGGAGCTCGCTCGGGGCGCACGGCCGCCGCCCTCGTGCCGCCCGCCATCTCATGCGCCGCGCCTGACCAGCAGCAGCTGCCGGGCGAGCTGCGTGCACTGACGACCCCCCCTTCCCTGCCTGCTCCGCCGCCTGCTGCCAACCTCATGTGCGCGCATGCAGGCTGGGCATTTACAGCAGCGCCACCCGCCCCACCATCACCAGGGCTCTGGCCAAGCTCCACGGCAACCTGGCCAACTTCCTGGAGCAGCGGCGCCGGGCCGCGGCAGCGCCCAAGCAGCAGCAGCAGCAGGATCAGGCGATGCAGCAGCCGACGGGGAAGAAGAAGAAGCGCAAAGCGGCCGCCGCGGCGGCCGCGGCGGCGGCGGCGGCGCCGGGCGGCGACGGCTTCCCGCCGGCGCTGCCGCCGGTGCTGTTTGAGGTGGTGATGGCGCGGGACCACTGCCAGCCAGCTTCCAAGGTGCGGCACGGTACAGTGTGTGCACGTACAGTGGGTGTAGATCCCCGAGAACAGTCGCGACAGTCGCGACCGTCCACGCGAGCGGGGTGCCTTGCGGTGGCGAGGCGGCAGGCTGACGGCATGATCACCAGCACAAGCTCCCCGCTGCAGCCGCGCCTCCCGCCAGCGTGCCGCCGCCTCCGTCACTGACTGCCGCCTCCCGCCGCCGCCACCTCCTGCCGCGCCGCCTGCAGGAGTCGATTGAGGCGCGCGGGGGGCGGCCTTGGGACACCGTCAAGCCGCTGGCCAAATACTTTGGCAGCCTGAGGCGGGTGGCGCTGGTGGATGACTCAGGTGAGGCGGCGGCGGCCTGGGGCTGGGGCTGGCGGGCGGGCGCTGCGGCAGGGAGGGCGAAAGCTGCCTTTGCCAGGCTTGGGCTTGCTGCGGATGCCTGTTGTGCCTGCCGTGCCACACTCCTGTGATGGGCTCGTGCCGAGATCGCGCAGCGGCTGCCGGGTGGTGGCGGCGGCACGCTCCTCCTGCCGCCGGGATGCCTCCCGCTGCCTCCCCTGATCGGCCGCCGCCCCTGGCGACCGCCCTTGGCCCTTGCCGCCCTGCTGCAGCCCACAAGGCGGATGAGGGGGAGGGCAGCAACATGGTCATCATGCCCTGCTGGCACGGCGCCGGCCACCCGCTGGGGCGCGGCGACGCCGCGCTGCCGCTGCTCGTCGACCTGCTGCTGCAGCGGGTGGGGCCGGGGGCGGGCGCCGCGGGCACAGATGCGCAGCAGGGCGGGGAAGAGGAGGAGGGCGGGGCCGCGGAGGCGGCGGCTGTGCCGGACCTGCGGCGCGTGACCGCCGCAATCAGCGCGGCGCTGGCCACGGCAGCGGCCGAGCAGCTGGAGGCGGCGCAGGCGGGCGGCCTGCTCAGCGGAGAGCAGGCGATGGCGGCGGCGGCGGCGCTGGAGGCGGCGGTGGCGGGCAGCGCGGCGGTGGCGGCGGCGGCGGCGGAGATTGCAGAGGAGAGCGAGGAGGAGGAGGAGGAGCAGGAGGATGAAGAGATGGCCGTGAGCCCGGCAGCGCCGCCGCAGCGGGCCGTCCCGCAGCAGGCGGAGCAGGCGCAGCAGGCAGGGAAGAAGCGGCAGCGCGAGCAGCCTCCCGCGGCGGCGGTAGGAGCTCCTGCGGCTGCGGCCCCCGCTGCGGCGCAGGCGGCTGAGGAGGCGCCGCCGCCGACCAAGAAGCAGCGCCGGGAGCAGGAGCGGCAGCGCCAGCAGGCGGCGGTGGAGGCGGCGGCCGTCGCGGTGCTGGCGGCGGCGGCGGCGGCGCCCGGCCAGGCCGCCGACGGCACGAGCCTGGTAGAAGTGAACTGCTACCTTCTACACGCCTGGGGTCACCTGGCCGACCTGGTCCTCAACAAGACCGCCAAGGGCGCCCTGGCCGCCGCCTGCAAGCAAGGCCTGCTGCAGCCGGCCGACGGCGCCGCGGCGCCGGGGCGGCGGCAGGGGCGGCTGGCGCTGAGCTCGGCGGGCGCGGCGGCGGCGCCCGGCCGGCAGTACATGGCCGACCTGGATGCGTACTGCGCGCAGTTTGCCGGCCGCGGCGAGTTCCTGACCCGCCTGGCCGCCTGCCGCAAGCAGGCGCAGGCGCAGGCGCAGGGGCAGGCGCAGCAGGGGCAGGCGCAGGGCCAGCAGGCGCAGGGGCAGGAGGCGGCGGCGGAGGAGGAGGCTGGTGTGGGAGGCTTCTTCTGGGAGCAGCAGGCGGCGCAGGCGCAGTCCCAGCAGTCCCAGCAGGCCCAGCAGGCGCAGCAGGCGCAGCAGGCGCCAGCGCAGGCGGCGCCGCCGACGGGCCCTCCCGGCGCCGACCTGCACCTGATCCAGCAGGCCGTGGTGCTGCATGCGGTGGGGAGGCTGCAGGCGCGGCGGGGCGTGTCACTGGAGGCCGCCGAGCGGTGGGCCGGCAAGCAGCTGCGCGCCCTCCGCCCGACCCTCCACTTATTTGTCGCCGCCCCCAAGTCGCAGAGGGCGGGCCAGCGGGTGCTGCGCGCGCTGCTGCAGGCGGGCATGCAGCGCTGCGAGCAGGTGGGGGCGCGGGCGCGGCTGCGCGTGCATGCGTGTGTGTGTGCAGCATGCGCGCGCGACTGTGTGTGTGTGTGTGTTCATGCATGCGTGTGCGCGACTGTGTGCATGTGTGTGTGTGCACTGGCCAGGCCCCTCGGTGTTCGGCCCCCGGGTGCTCTCCCAGTTCCAGCAGCGCTCTGTCTGCCACCATGCCCCGCCTGCACGCCTCGCCCGACCGGCGCCGCCTCCCCGCCTCCCACCCGCGCTGCAGGAGGGATGGGCTGTTGTGGGGCGCATCGAAGGCGCGGCCGACGTGCCGCCAGCCCTGCTGCTGTGCAGCCCCACGCCGGCGGCGCCCCAGCGCTCGCAGGCTGAGCTGGAGGCTGCGCTGCAGGTGCTGGCAGATAGGCTGGAGCCCGCCTCGGCGGCGCAGCCTGCGGCCGCAGGCGCCGCCGCTGCCGCCGCCGCTGCGGCTGGGAGCGAGGAGGCTGCAGCTGCCGGCGAGGCCGCGGCACCAGCGGCGCCAGCGGCGCCAGAGGCGCCAGCGGCGGCGCTGGCGGCGGCCGTGGCGGCGGCAGACGATGATGCCGACGCCATGGCTGCAGCAGCGGCGGCGGCGAGCGCACCGGCTGCCCCGCTGCTGCTGGATGTGTTTGAGGATCGGGCTCCGGCCCCGCCGCCCGCCGCGCCGGCAGCAGCCCCGGCGCAGCCGCCCGCGGCGGGGGCGCCGTCCGTGGCGCGAGATGGCGCGGCAGCGGCAGCGGCGGCAGCAGAAGCGGCGGCGGCGGAGGCCGCGTCGCAGGGGGAGGAGGGGGATGGAGGGGGAGGATGGCGGGGC